AACACCTCACATTGACACGCCCCTCACTCTCTGACCACACCCCCTCACATTCTGACCACACCTCATTTTTACGTCTGGATTCTGTGATTTCTCCTGTGTTTTGATTTGACTCAGTCACTCCTCACGCCATGCTCTGATTGGCTGTCCGCAGGTGCAGACGCAGGCGTTCCCCATGCAGACGCTGGCGCATCCGCAGAACCCCTTACACATGACAACACCTCACACTGACACGCCTCTCACTCTCTGACCACACCTCCTTACACTCTAAACACAAATCATCATATACAGTCGATCACTCAAGTAAACCTGACCACACCCTCTCACTCCCTGACCACACCCCCTTAAACATGACAATACCTCACATTGACACGCCCCTCACTCTCTGACCACACCCCCTTACACTCTAAACACAAATCATCACACATGCCAATCACACAGGTGAGCCTGACCACACCCCTTACACATGACAACACTTCACATTGACATGCCCCTCACTCTCTGACCACACCCCCTTACATGTGACCACACCCCCTCACATTCTGACCACACCTAATTTTTACGTCTGGATTCTGTGATTTCTCCTGTGTTTTGATTTGACTCAGTCACTTCTCATGCCATGCTCTGATTGGCTGTCCGCAGGTGCAGACGCAGGCGTTCCCTATGCAGACGCTGGCGCATCCGCAGACGGTGATGATCGCGCCGACCGCCACGCCGACACACAGATTCATACAGAACCAGGTGATCTGCCAGCAGAACCCCGGCGCCGGTTTCCAGGGTGAGGACTCGCACACACACTCACTATATATACACACACACACACACACACGCTCTCACGCAGCTGTGTCTCTCTCAGTCCTCCAGCCGCAGATGCAGAGCATCATGACGTCACCGCAGGTCCAGCAGATGACCATCCAGCACCAGCGGCTGCTGACTCCATCCGGTCAGACCTTCCAGACGCTGTCCACCGCGCCGGTCCACACCATATCGCAGCAGGTGCCTGTACGTCTCACACACACGCTCACTGCAGTCTGTCATTAGTGTGGCGTATGATGTCTTGTGTGACGCTGCGCTCTGATTGGCCGTCAGGTGCTGCTGCACCAGCCGCAGATCCTGAAGACGGACTCTCTGGTTCTGACCACACTCAAACCGGACGGGACGCAGGTGCTGTCGACTGTCCAGAACACGCCGGGCATCACCACGCTCACGGCACCCATCCAGACCACCGCACTGCAGGTTCCTGTACGTCACTCACACACACTACAGTCGGGATACCCTGACAGAAACATCATAGAGCAGTTTCATTAACTAATGCAGAGTTGGGGAAAATGTGTGATTTTCTGACAAATATTAAACTGAAAGAGCTCATATAGTTGCTTTATTTTTTAGATTGTTAAAATGTTAAATATTGTTAAATAATGGTATGTCATTTTAGTCATTGATGTTTGTTATTATGATTATTTTAATGTCTACTCAAAACAGCCATTGCAGCTTATGTTGTTAAAAATTAATTTCTTTTAATATAACATTTTACTATTAAATTTCATTAAATGCTTAGATGTTCTAGATAGATAGGTAGATAGATAGATAGATAGAAATAGTCAGTAGATAGATAGATAGATAGATAGAAATAGTCAGACGATAGACAGATAGATAGATAGATAGATTATTATTATTAATGTTTTATTTGTTAGGGACAGATACAATAAACATAGATGAAAAAGTAAAAAACAATCATCCCATGCATGTACCATAGTGCTTGTAGCCGAAGCTAATTTGCAACACTTGTCCCTAGGAGGGCTTTTATAAATTACAATTACAATAAACAAGTAGTACACAAATTTATAATATAAATGCACTAAACATGACAACAGGTTTGTTGATGTATCAACCAAGATTAGTTAATTATATCATCTGAATTCCCAGATTTGAAAATAGGCTTTACCAATGCTTTTTTCCAACTATCAGGGAACTGCCCAGTTCTGATAGAAAGATTAATAAGATGGGTAAGGGGCTTAACTAAAACACTTCCATTTTTAAAAAAAAAAGGCAGTGTCAAGATTATATATATCTTTAGAATATGTAGTATTTAATTCATTAATAATTCTCATAATTACAGATTGATCCACTTCCTGAATTTCAAATAATTTAACATCATCCTCTATATTCTCAAATTGATTGGCATCTTCATCCACTAAGTACTGTCCCTCAACTTCAACTTCAGAAAAATTAGATGCAAGATCTTTTACTGATTGAATAAAAAAAATCATTAAATATATTTGCAATTCTTTTTGAGTCATGAACAAGTTCATCTCCAACTTTAAGAATATATTTATCCTGAACTTTACTTTTTGGTTTTATTAAACTGTTAATTTGTTTCCATATTATATTACCATTTCCCTTAGCTTCAGATAATATGTGAATGTAATAATTTGATTTTGAAGTACGAAAGTCCTTAATTACTTTATTTCTTAGTCCTTTAAACAACTGCAAGTCTATTTCATGTCTAGTTTTAAGAAAAGTCTTTAAGGCATAATCTCTTTGTAGTTAATTATATCATCTGAATTCCCAGATTTGAAAATAGGCTTTACCAATGCTTTTTTCCAACTATCAGGGAACTGCCCAGTTCTGATAGAAAGATTAATAAGATGGGTAAGGGGCTTAACTAAAACACTTCCATTTTTAAAAAAAAAAGGCAGTGTCAAGATTATATATATCTTTAGAATATGTAGTATTTAATTCATTAATAATTCTCATAATTACAGATTGATCCACTTCCTGAATTTCAAATAATTTAACATCATCCTCTATATTAATTAATTGATTGGCATCTTCATCCACTAATTACTGTCCCTCTACATCAACTTCAAGATATAAATAGTCAGATGATAGATAGATAGATAGATAGATAGATAGATAGATAGATAGATAGATAGATAGATAGATAGATAGATAAATCTAGCAGTGATTTAAAAAAATATTTCTGGGAAATGTTTAGATTTTCTAATAAATAAAAATTTAATATTTTTATAAGAGTATATTTTTAATTATTACATATACATTTATTTATTAAAGTTATATCATTATAATGATAATTTTAATTTCTTCTACTCTGAATTTGCTATGATATTAGCCTTTGCTGCTGATAAAATAATAAATAATTTTTTTTAATTGTATTTAAATAATATTGATTTAAAAGATATAAAAAATCAATGTAAATAAATATACAAATATTTATATATAATTATAAATATTTTTAAAAATTAGTATCTCAAAATACCTTTATAAGACAATAACTTTTTTTTATTTTATGATCATTTAGTGGAAAATCAGACATACTCATGCAGAGAATATTTTTGCATGTTCATTTAAATTATTATTTTTTGTGGTGACATGTCTTGTGATTGTGTTGATTGTACTGTGATACGTTCATGTGTATTGTTCTGTTGTCTTTGTGTTATATGCGTTGTGAAAACTAATTTCCTATATGGTATAAAATAATGAAGATCAGAACAAATAATCTAACTACAAGCAACAGCTCAAATAAATACAATAGAGCAAACTACAAATAAAATAAACAGTGCTTTTCAGGTTTTTTAGGTAGGTCTATCATTAGTTTTTAGGTACAGAAATTGAATAAAGTAATCAAACGTAAAATAACATTGCATATTTGACTGTATAAATGAAAGATTAATCCTTATTAAAGTTACAAAAGTTATTCAGTCAAGAGCAGTGAGTGATTTCCATGTTGTTGTTGTTTGATTAATATTAAGAAAGTGCTGTCACTTTAAGAGAATGCACTGATACTGTACGCTCAACCGACTATGTCTGCTAGGATACTCACCAAGATGGGCATTTTGACATAATTTTTGTGTGAATTTGTCCATTCAATCACAATACTTCAAAGAGAGCTTAATATTTGTGCGCGGGTTTGCATACTTCGGATGAGCGCACACACAGAGATCTCACTGCGTGCGCGAGCTCGCGTCTTCTGGCTCTTTAATATTTAAACTGGCAAAGCTTAAATGAGTTTAGTTTAAACACAGATAGCAAGGTGTGCTGTTCAGGTCTCACCTGCGCGCACACTCTATCAGCACCCGGGTGATGACGGCATAAATGACTGCTCATATTCCAGCATACATTGAACAAGAGTGACAGGTTTGTCCACTTTTTTTTTTTATCGCTGTTGTTGTAATTTACTGGCAAGCCAGAATGTGCACCCATCAACAGAAACGTACATTAGCCCAACCCTGTCTGTTTTACGTGTTGCTATTTTTAACAAACCATATTACAGATGTCTTATCAGATTTAAGTTAAACCGCTATCTATCTATCTATCATCTATCTATCTATCTATCTATCTATCTAAATCCCTTTCATGTCAGAATATCGTTCTGTTGATGGTTCTGAATGTCGTGGCTCTCTTTCACAGACGCTGATGGGCAGCAACATTCTGACCACTGTTCCCATGGTGATGGGAGGCGGAGACAAGCTGCCAATCAAGCAGCTCTCCTCGGGCACCGCCCACACGGGGGGCGGGGCCAGGGTGGGCATGGAGCAAGGCGCGGCCGTTACCGCGGGAACGGGAGGAGTCGTGAAGGAGGGCGAGAGACGGACGACACACAACGTCATCGAGAAACGCTACCGATCGTCCATCAATGACAAAATCCTGGAGCTGCGCAACCTCGTGATGGGCAGCGACGCCAAGGTGTGTGCACCGCATTGCATGCTGGGACGTGTGGAGCCCAGGTGACTGTCTGACAGTCTGTTTGATGTGATTGACAGATGCACAAGTCTGGCGTTCTGCTTAAAGCCATCGACTACATCAAATACCTGCAGCAGGTGAACCATAAGCTCCGGCAGGAGAACCTGACGCTCAAGATGGCCAATCACAAGAACAGTGAGTCACATGACATCCCCGGCTTTGCTGCTTCTCCCCAAATTCAGCTTTGTTTTTTTCTAAAATTCACTGTTTAATAGTATTTTTAAGAATTGTGTAATGTATTACAATTTTAATAATAATAAGGCCCTATGAAATCTGATTTTTTTTCCTCCCCAAATTCCTTTTTCTGAAATTCTGTTGTTTTTATTTTTTTAATTTCCAATTTCATTATAAAGGTAAATTCATTAAATTAAATAAATTAAATTTTAATAATCACAAGGATTTTCTGGATTCTGTGTTAATGATTTAATACAAATGTATTATTAAAAATGATGGATAACAAATGCATAAAACTGAACAATTTAATTAATATTTTAAAATGTAATCAAATAAAATGCTGGACAACGGAGCTGTATTAATTATATTAAAATTAAAACATGGATAAAAATCTTGTAATATTAAATAATATTATTATTTTTATTATTATTATATATTATTATAAATGTATTTTACTAATATTTGTATTATAATTTGACTTTGATTAATTGTACATCCCTACTTCTGCTTTGTTAATTTATAAATATTTAATAAGTAATGTATAAAATTAATGCATTTACCTTCTCATTTATGCATTGGGCAAGTGACTTTACATTGCATTTA